CAAATAATTACTTTCAAAAATATAATTAAAACCAATAAAATTCATCTTTCTCAATTTAGTTAATTACAATTAAATTTTAAAATTTAAAATTTTAATTAATTAATAATTTAATTTTAATTATAATAAAAGCAAAACCCCGTCCACCTAGCAACAAAGGCAGCCTTTCAATTGTGGGGGATGACTTGTAAGTTGTAACCCAAAAAATGGGGGATGACTTAGACTCGTTGCTTGATGTGAGGATAACTTAAAAGATGTTGATATAACAGACACCCCAATAAAGACGGCTGAAAAGAAAAGAACACCTCACGAAAATGACGTGACCTTAACAAACTGTACATCACTAATGTGATTTCGAGTTCATACGGCATTCGAGTCCACACGGCTATATAGCTATACCATCATAATTATTTTTTCTGGCAATTTTTGGAACGTTTTTTTATTAGTGTATTTTTTTGGACTTTTTATCTTAATTAAGTGAAAACTTAATTTTTAGTGTTATATTGATAAAAATGTTTTAATTAACTCTTTAATTTGTATATTAAGATTTTTTAGAGAGTCTATAATATCTTTGATATAAATTTACACTTAGTATAATAATTAAATTGTCATTATTATTATTATTGTTTTTTGCTGTTGTTAAATTGTCAATAATTAAATTTAAAAAAATGCTGAAATACCTAATTTAAGGAAAACAAGGATTAAATATTTAATAATAAAAAAATATTTCTATGTGAAGTTATATTAAATCTATCATTACTTAAAAATATTTGTTTATTATTAAATATTTGATCCTTGTTTTCTTTCAATTAAGTATTTCAATAGTTTTTTAAATTTAATTAATGACAATTTAACTGATGGCAAAAAAACAATAATAATAATGACAATTTAACGATTATGTTAAGTGTAAATTTATATTAAAGATATTATTGACTCTCTAAAAAAAATTAGTATAAAAATTAAAGAGTTAATTATAACATTTTTACTAATATAAGACTAAAAATTAAGTAAAAACTTGATTAAGATAAAAAATTTTAAAAAATACACTAATAAAAAATTTTCTCAAAAATTAACAGAAAAAACAATTATGATGGTACAGCTATATAGCCGTGTAGACTCGAAATCAAATTTCAAATTCCTTTAGTTCGCATGAGTGATGCACAACTTGTTAATGTGATATCATTACCGTAAGTATGTGGTTGAAAACTTTAATGGGATGCCCTTTCCTTTTTGCCGTATTCAATGGGATGTCTGTTGTGTCAACGTCTTTTAAATTTATCCATACATCAAAGCAACCAGTCAAAGTCATCCCCCAGAATTGAAAGGCGGCCTTTGTTGCTAGGTGGGCACGGTTTAGTTTTTATTATATTTATATGTTTTTCTGGCAATTTTTGAGAAAATTGTTTATTAGTGTATTTTTTTGGACTTTTTATTTTAATTAAGTGAAAACTTAATTTT